ATTTTGACAGTGAAAGGAAAGAGACATGCCAATGATGCTACTCAAGCCACTTGACTTTTGAAAGTAAATTTTATCTGTACACAGTTATTCTATTTCATTTCTCATTCATGTTTGTGTTATTCTCTCCTTACTTTTCTTCTTCTGTCTCTCTTTTTCTCTATCTCATTTGCTGCCTGTTCCTAAAATCCTGTTGGGTCTGTTTATTTATGTCTGTTTTTATACAAATACCCGATGGTTAAAATAATATCAGTCAATTGTCAAGGTCTTGGTGATATCGCAAAGCGCAGAGATGTTTTTAACTACCTTAAGTCTTTAAAGTGTAATATGTATTGTTTGCAAGATACTCATTTCTCATCAGAAATGGAAAATGATATTCGAAATCTGTGGGGATACGAATGTTTTTTTTAGCTCATACACCACTAATTCCAGAGGAGTGGCTATTTTAATAAATAACAATATTGATATCAAAGTAATCTCAGAAAAAGGTGATGCTGATGGAAATTATCTAATACTTAAAACATGTATAGAAAACCATGAGGTATTGATATGTAATGTTTATGCTCCAAATACTGATAAACCTGATTTTTTTGAAAGTATACAAAATCATATAGAAGATTTGCAGTGTAGTAATATTATCTGGTGTGGAGATTTCCATTTGGTTTTGAATCCCGAGTTAGATTATTATAACTATAAAAAAGTAAATAATCCAAATGCAAGGAGCAAACTCTTAGAAATAATAGAGATTAATGGCTATGTAGATCCTTTTAGACAACTTCATGAGTCACTTCGTAGATATTCATGGAGGAAAAAGTCTCCATTAAAACAAAGTAGGTTAGATTTTTTCCTACTGTCAGAGCCACTTTTATCAGGATTAGATACATGTGCAATAGAGCCAAGTTACAGATCAGATCATTCTATCATTTCTCTCTCGTTAGTATTTAATGACTTTAAGAGAGGTCGCAGCTTGTGGAAATTCAATAACTCATTACTTTATGATGAAAAGTACTTGAACTGTATTAAGGATGTTATCTTACAGGTTAAAAGACAATATGCAATTCCAGTTTACAATTATGACAACATGCACACAGTGCCAGATGAAAATATATTCTTCAAAATAGATGATCAATTATTTTTGGAAACCTTACTATTAGAAATAAGGGGTAAAACTATCTCTTATTCATCATATGTCAAAAAGAAGAGAGAAAATGAGGAAAATTCTTTGATCAATGACATTAAAAATATGGAAGAAAATATTTCTGAAAGTAACTTAGAAGAACTATACAATAAAAAACAAGAATTAGAAAAAATTAGAAAGCACAAGTTACAAGGTAATTACATAAGAAGTAGAGCAAGATGGATTGAGGAAGGGGAAAAGCCCACAAACTATTTTTGTAAACTGGAGTCAAGGAATTTTACAAGTAAAATCATATCAAGATTAGAAATAAATAATGGTGAGGTTATTCATGATCAGTCACAGATTTTGAAAGAAATCAAATCTTTCTATGAAAATTTATATACAATTAAAGAAGGGAATACTGACTTAAATTTAGATAATGAGTTGATACATACTGATGTTCCCAAACTTTCTTGTGAAGAATCAAACCATTTAGAGGGTGAAATAACCTTGTTAGAAGCCTCAAATACTCTTTATAATATGAAGGCTAATAAATCTCCAGGATCCGATGGTTTCTCTACAGAGTTTTTTAAAATGTTTTGGAAATATATTGGGTCCTTTGTCTTAAGATCTATTAACTATGGTTACAGGAATGATATCATGTCTATTACACAAAGACATGGAGTTATAACATTATTACCTAAAGGTGACAAGCCAAGACATTTTCTTAAAAACTGGCGTCCTATTACACTGCTAAATACTGTATATAAAATAGCATCTGGCTCTATTGCAAACAGATTTAAAAAATATTTAGATAAAATAATCAACCCTGACCAAACTGGTTTTATCTCCAACAGATATATTGGAGAAAACATAAGATTGATATATGATATAATGCACTTTACAGAAGAAGAAGATATTCCAGGACTTTTATTACTGATCGATTTTGAGAAAGCTTTCGACTCTCTTTCCTGGAACTTCATACAAAAAGCATTACATTTTTTCAATTTCGGCCCTTCCATCAGAAAATGGGTCACTCTTTTTTACACGGATATTAAAGCTACTGTTAATCAAGGTGGTAATTTTTCTGATGTAATTGATATTCAGAGGGGATGCAGACAAGGAGACCCTTTGTCTCCATATATTTTTTTGATCTGTGCAGAGATTCTAGCCATACAAATTAGGAAAAATAAAAAAATAAAAGGTATTACCATTAGAAATGTAGAAAAAAAGATCTCTCAACTGGCAGATGATACTTCCCTTATTCTTGATGGAAGTGAGGAGTCTCTTTTAGAAACACTGAACACTTTGAACACATTCTCAGATATGTCTGGATTATGCATTAACTTCTCAAAAACACACACTGTGTGGATTGGATCCAAAAAATACAGTGATGAGGTTTTAATCCCAAATTATCAACTTAATTGGGGAACTACTAGATTTACTTTATTAGGTATAAATTTTGATGTTGACCTAGATAAAATGTGTGAAATAAATTATCAACCAAAGCTAGTGCAAATCAAGTCTATTCTTAGTCAATGGGGAAAAAGGTTTTTAACTCCAATTGGAAAAATTACTGTTATAAAGACATTGGCTTTACCTATATTAAATCATTTATTTATGTCAATCCCAAATCCATCTAATTCTTATTGTAAAGAATTAGAAAAACTTTTTTTCTCATTCTTATGGAATAATTCAACTCATAGAGTTAAGAAAGATGTCATTGTTAAAAAATATGAAGACGGAGGACTGAAAATGATAAATTTAAATGCTTTCATTGTTTCTTTGAAATTAGTTCGGATAAGACATCTAGTTTTTACAAATAAAGGGTGGGAAAATTTCATCCCAAATATGAATATATATAAATTTGCATCCTGTGGTATTGAATACATCACTCAACTTATGAAAACCTTAAAAAATAAATTCTGGATTGATGTGTTCAATTCCTGGGTTGATTTGAATAAAATTTGTACTGATTCTGATGCTACTGTATACTCTCAACTGTTTTATAACCCTATGATCCATATTGGAGGGAAAACCTTTTATAGTAAAAAACTTTTTGACAATAATATTAGATATATTAATGACATTATTGGAGTAGATGGTTTTTTTTATAGCTATGAATGCTTTTGCAATACTTATCCAGATATAAAGATTATTTTTTTAGAATATTCTAGCTTGATCCATGCAGTTAAAGCTTGGATAAAGAGGAGCAATTTCAATAAAAAATTACAAAAATCAGAAAATCCTCTTATTATGTCTAACTTTTATCTTGTATCAAAATGCAAAAAATCAAAAAACTTCTATGAAATTCTCAATAAAAATTCTTCTATAACAGCTGGTTACAAAAAATGGATTGAATTATTTGATTTGGATAGCAAGGAATGCAAAATAATTCATAAATTACCATTTCAAGTCACAAAAAACTGTAAACTCCAGTGGTTTCAGTACAGAATTTTAAATAAAATATTGGCAACAAATTCTTTTTTATTCAAAATTAAGAAGGTTGTTTCAAAGCAATGTACTTTTTGTCAAAAAGAAGAAGAGACAATTGAACATATCTTATGGGAATGTGATCTTGTACAATCACTCCTTGAAAACTTTGAATATTATCTCCAGCAGAAAAACCTCCATTTGTCCATAACAAAAAAATCATTTATTTTAGGTATTGGAGGAAAAAATAATGAAATAGCTAATATCTTAATCTTATGGTTGAAATATTATATTTATACTTCTAGATGCACTGAAAAACCTCTAAATGTGCACTCTGCGATATCACACTTGAGTTATTTTTACCAAACACAAAAATATATATCATATAAAAATGGTGAAAAAGAGAAATTTGACGATCAGTGGAACAGGTGGAACCAACTATTTTTGTAACTCTCTCTCTCTCTCTCTTTCTCCCCTCTCTCCCTCTCTCTCTTTCTCTCTCTCTCTCTCTCTCTCTCTCTCTCTCTCTCTCTATATATATATACACAATTCTGCTAAAGAAAAGATATTGGACATTTTGTATATAATGAATTGTGTTGAAAAAATAAAATAATTAAAAAAAAAAAAGTTTTTCTTTGGCTTTTATATTCCACACAATTATAATTATCATTGGTTTGCCTCAAAATAGTTGGATGAGAATATGGCTATATTGATTTTAATGCAAATAAGAATTAAATCTAACTTGTGGTCATGTTTTTTTTTTGTTTTTTTTTTTTTTCAGAAAATGACCAACAGTGAAATGACTTAATAAATGTTGTTGTTGTTTTTTTTTTAATACTTATAATAATGTAACAGTGCTATAAATCACATATTTGCACATGAATTTAAAACAATCGCACTAAAGCGTGATTCAAATTCATACCTGTACGCACGAATTGTATGTGCACAAATAAATTAAAGCACCATAAAGTATAAAAGCATAATCATTTAACACTTGTTTTTCCATTCCTTCGTTACCTTAGCATTTTAAAATTTAATACTGTTATCACACTTTCCCCTCAATCACATTACACTTGATACCGCTATAAAAATTACATAAAAGCCCTTAGAGGTTCAAATTTGAACATTTTTAGTACAAAGACATCATAAGCCGAACATTTCATGCATATAAGATTTTAAAATATATTTGTTTTTTCTATTAAAATTTTTAACAGGGATATTATTGCTTCTACACTTTACTTACAAACTAATGACACAATCGCATGTGATCAAGGATCGTAACAAAATTTTCATGTCGTCAGCATATTGGAGTTAAGTTTCTAGTATTTTATGCATTTTGTATTGCATTTTATCAGCTTTTGAAAGAATTGAACACCTCAAAAATTTCTACAATTTTGAAATAAAACATTGTATAAATCTTTTGTTTTTAATTTCTAGTTCTCGTGGTTTTGACACGAAATTCTTCCTTGGGTTTAGAGGAGCTTTGGAATACTTCCTTGGGTATAAATCCTGGTGATGGAAACACAGAAACACTTCCGGTAGAAAGCGTGATTTCCATGGGCACCTTTAGATCGATATTGGTGGATAATTGGTCAAATAACCCACCAGATAAAGTACCTCTTGACTACACTTCCACAGTTTATGGCTTTCATTTCTTGTTTTATATTATATATAATTATATACATGTGTGTGTGTGTGTGTGTGTGAGGGAGGGTGCGTTTGTAAACACCTTCAACTCAGCTCAGGTACTTATTGACACATCAATCAACTCACTACAGTTTTTCAACTCACTACAGTAATCACTGTAGTGAGTTGCCGTTTTACGAAAAATGGGTAGTTCTCGATTATTTATGCCCAAAAAATCGAGAAAAAAAGTTGGTGTCATTTGACGGTTTACACCCGTATTTTCACACGCCGACTTATGATCAAAAAATGGCACTTACACACTTTACTCGGTTTTGATTCTAGCGCATGCGCAATGCAGACTAATACTATGGCCGACTTCCGGTGTGTAATGATCTCGATTTTTCTACAAAGTAACAAATGATCTCATCAGGTAAGTTAATTTTCTGTTGATTTTACCGTGAATTAAAACGTTAATTACAAAACATCACATCGTTTCCATATACAAAGATATTAATCAATCACTCGATAAACATATAGTATTTAGATTTCGTTGTTTATATGCCCTTGAAAAATTTATGTTCAAATCCCTTAGTTATAATCCACAAAATAAAACTTAAAGGTTAAAGAATTATTTAAATATATTTCCATATAACTTTAAATCCACTACATGGCCCAATCCATTTGTTAAGCATAATTTGCAGTCGTCATAGAGTCTAAGTTCGAATTTTCTCGAATTATTCATAATGTTGACATGTTTCTATTTCATACACTCGTATCAATTAATTCTGTTCAACTTATATAAAAAATTATACTTCATGTAATATATCAAACGTATCTGGTTCTTTGTTCTAGTTATGAACTGAACTGGAATTATCTCTATCCTTTATAGTCACACATATTGCCATCAACACATCTTCAGTTCAGAAGTTTAATAAATTATTTTATGAAGTTAGAAATTATTTATCTTATTTATCTTTGTCCAAGACATGCACTTCATTTGTAATTTATTCTTTATTTAAAAAAAAAATGCTTCAAATATGTATGATTACAAAAGTATTTATCAGTACGTTCTCACCATATAAGAATCACACTTTTCGATTTTAAATGTTTCTCGACTGATTTTACAGAATTTCAAATGAACAAATTCATTTAAATATTTTCTAATACAATGTCCCTGATGTATGTCACAATGGAACACCTGCACATGTATTGTATAAAAAGAATTGAGAAAGATTAGATATCTTTATAATGGAGGTACGTGTATGATAGACTGTCTTGATTGGAAGGGGAAATGCATTTTTAAAATACAACGGCTAATGTAGACAAGATCAGAGTTCTCTTTCATCCAAAAATAAAGTATGCTCAGTTCTTCTTGTATGTGTCCTTAAAGCTGGTAAACTAATCAAAATATGAAAATCTGCAATTTTTTGTACATGTATTCAGACTGGAAACTTTAATCATTAGTTGCTTACCTGTCCGTGTAAGAGAAATAATTACAGTCTCTAGACTTGATGTGGTGTGATTACGGTAATTGTAAAATGTGGTTTCCAAGACTTTACCTTATTTATTCATTAGAGTTAGTGATTCATGTTCAGTATTGTTTAATCAGAAGGAGATGATCCAGGAATTCTTCCGGGGGGGGGGGGGGGGGGGTTCCATCCCCCCCTCCCAAAAATCCAACTGAGAAATTTACCCAAAACTTAAAAAATAAATAGATAAATTTTAAAAAACGCAAACTTGTCCATCCCCCCCCCCCCCCCGAGAAAAACTACACCATGCAAATTTGAAAAATCAAAAAAAAAAAAAAAAATAAAATGAAATAAAATAAAAAAATAAAAATAAAAAAATATGAGTGGACTGGACTGGATCGGTGCATGAATTGCTAAACATTGTCCATCGTATATATGAAGAACTGCATAAATTTTACACTTAGTCTAATCAGGGACTATATATAGAAATATCTATTTGAACATTGTTAATGCCTCTCCCCCTCCCCCTTCTCTATTTACCATGTTTATTTCTAGTAAAAAAAAAATTGTCTGATTAACCTATTCTACTCAAATTTACTCAAGTAATAAACATTTTTTTTTCTGTGTAAAATTTCATTCCGAGTCATCACCGGAACGAATTACTACTTAATCGTAACTGTTGTGGCGTGATGCTTGATTGTGAACCTAATAACATAGAAATACTTATTGGATTATACCTTCGATGTCATTCTGTGATTTATTTTAGTATGGTAAGTATAGAGTAAGAAACGTTATATAAAGGTGTAAATGACAAGTTCAAAATATTTACATGATAAACAAATCAGAGGTCATTCGAGTCACGTATAAAATTATTAAGTCATGCATGTGATATCAGTCAAGTGCAGATATTTCACAAAAGTTTGGTTGTGCATATATTTTAAACCTTTCACTGTGGTGTTTGTGAGCGTGATACGTGATACAGCTGTGATACCAACACGTAAAAGAAGATAGGCTAAGTAAGACTTTTGTAAATTCACATACACACACAAAAGATGTAAAGGTTGCTCCACACCTCTTCAAATTAAGGCTTTGCCACACTACAGCATGTACAAAGCTTAAAAAACCTGCATCGACGTACAGAAAGATTAACATACTCGCTGGCATATGCTGAAGGCTTGTGCCATGCACCATAATCATGATAATTGCATTGAAGTAAAAAATTTTTAAAATGGTCATTAAATCAACCATATTAGCACCAAAGTGTGCATTCAATTTTCCCTTGGCTCTGTTCATTGGAAAGATTTCGACATTATATCTTTTAAAGGAAAGGTTTGTTTTGTTTGTATGTTGTTTAACGTCCCTCTCGAGAATTTTTCACTCATATGGAGACGCCACCACTTGCCGGTGGAGAGCTGCAAATTTTGTCCTATACTCGGCATTTATGGCCATTGAGCAGTGAGGGATCTTTTTTGTGCCAGCACCTACTGTGACAAGGGACCTCGGTTTATACGGTCTCATCCGAAGGACCAGTCTCCACGTCCCACAGTGGGATTCGAACCCACGACGTAAGAATCAACTCCTTACTCCGCGACTCTAGAGCAGACGCTCTAACCACTGCGCCACGCGGGCAACTTTAAAGGAAAGGAATTGTATAGTTTGATATGTGCACACCCTAGATTTTGGAAATGTTAATGCTCTACTTTTATTGTTTTAATTACTTTCATTTTCAGATGTTTATTTTTTGCGAATGTGTGCATTTGGCCGGAAAACAATCTGACATTCCACCTTGAGATGTTATTTGAGAGTTGTTCCATCCTAAAATGTAAAGCAAGGATTTAAAACGGTGTGAGAAAAGGTTAACATTGTCGCCTATGGGAAATGTATTGGTGGACTGTATACCCCATATATATTGAGTACGTCTATTGGTAAGCATGCTATGAGAAATTTTACTTGTTAAAAAAATTGTACTTTCAGGTTGAGTTGAAGTTTGTGATTTAATAATATTATCATTTCCAATTGTTGAAATCTATGAAATACACAACTTTTATTTTGCTTAATGTGCATATTTTAAAACAAATCGAGTCGCAATATAGTGTTCTTCCAAAATTTTGAGGTGAAATAGACATAGTGTATATAGACACAGTTAAGGCACGGAACCCATATAGGAAATTTAGAAAAAATGTACGGGCTCCACATACCCAAGATATGGACACAGAATCTGAGGCTGAAAGCAAGGTGTTCTTGTGCACAGAAACCAATGTGTAGGCAAGGAATCCTTGTCCCAAGAAGACAGTTTCTAACTTACAAAATTTGAATGAGGCAGATTTGGTTCAAACTATATACATGTATTTTTAATCTCACGGCTTTCTACATAGCATGATCATAACTTCCTTTGTGCAAATCAGATTAGAAGGATTCATGATCCTGAGCTAATATAGCTTGTGTCTTTCTTACTTTATAAAAGATACATAACTAATATACATGTATATCACTTGGAATTGTACTTAGGTCAACTTGAATGATTTTGTCACTTTTGAACTGAAAGTCTAAGTAAGTAAGTCTAATATAGAAGCCATTTGAAATCTTTATCCTTGGATGTTTAAATGCAAGCTGACAGACATTGAAATAGTCTTTGTTGATCAATGATGATTTAACCTAAGTTAACAATCTCATTTCATTTTGTGTCATCACATGATAAAGAAAGTTATGATTTTATTAAATTCAAATTGAACAAACTTAGGCTGAAAAAAACAACAACATGTATTTCCCATAACCCAGCTGACCTAATTTTACCCCACCGACTCTACTACTTTTTATTCCAAATCGAGATTTTGAATCATACTTTTGTTCATAGTAAAGTTTTCTCATAGTGCAGTCCATAAAATGCATGTCTCGTACACTGTAAAAACCTGTCTATCCATCCAAGAGTTTTAAAGAGTACTCCTACTTTATTTATATATATATATATATATATATATATATATATATATATATATATATATATATATATATATATATATATATATATATATATATATATATATATGTGTGTGTGTTTGTTTGTTTATTCATATACATACATGTATGTTTATGTACATGTATATGATAGAAAATCAATGTACAGAATAATTAATTGATGCTCTCAAAATAAAAAGTGTTGCTTGCGTGACGCAGTGGTTAGAGTGTTTGCTCTAGAGTCGCGAAGTAAGGAGTTGATCCTTAGATTGCAGGTTCGAATCCCGGCCACTGTGGGACGTGGAGACCGGTCCTTCGGATGAGACCATATAAACAGAGGTCCTATGTCGCAGTAGGTGCTGGCATGAAAAAGATCCCTCACTGCTCAAATTGGCCCTGAGAGCGGAGTATAGGTCTATTAATTTGCAGCCCTCCACCAACAAGTGGTGGCATCTCCATATGAGTGAAAATTTCTCGAAAGGGACATTAAACAACAAACAAACAAGTAAACAAAATTAACAGTAAAGTAAAAAAAAGTTATTCCCTACTTACCTAGCCTAATTTTTTTTAAGCATATGTCACCAGAAACACATAATTTTTTTCATTTGGCCTAATTAAGTTAAATTACTATAGAATTGTGCATTGAATCATTTGATTCTTAATAAGAAACTACTATAAATTGTTAAAATGATAGTGTAGATAAGTTATAAAAATGAATGTGGCACTCTCATACATGTATTAATTCCAAACTTTAAAAATTCTAAAACTAATCAAATTAATAATGTAAAGCATTGTAAAGTTTGTATTCAGTCTCTATTTGGCATCTACAGCAACATCAGGGGATTCTCCAAGATCCTAACCCAGATCTAGATGAATTAATTAAGGCACATGCAGATCTCATGACTCCATATTTGGTTATTTTTTGACATGGCCGGTTTCCCAAATCAGGGTCTCCAGGTATGGGAAATGGCACAGGTTTCTGGTACAGGTTTTTCAGAATCCATGAGTTCATGTAGGGAACCTAGCACAACTTTCTGTGAAGGGTTTATTTGTAAAACTGTGTTATGTAATATTTCAGTCATTATCCCATGCCTGTTCCTGCCTTGACCACTTTTTGTCATGGCTTTCTAATTACATATTTTACATATATAGGAGCAGAAATGCTACTCTGTTACAAGTTTATGGAAGCTAAATATGTGCCTGTGTTTAAACCACCCAGACTGTTTCATATGGGAGTACCCCCCCCCCCCTCCCCCCTTATGAACACACAGCTAATGCTCATACCTCCTGTTGTTTACAATTACATGTATGTAGCGTGTAAATTCAGTTAATGTGTCAATTTATATTATTTATTAATTCAAAGCTAGGTTGAGTATATTTCTAGATAAGGATTCAATATGTACACAAAAATTCACAAACAGGGTCGGAATCGGTATTCAGTCAAGTTCAAGGTCAAAGTGAAAGTAGTGTACTCAATGTACGCAGAGTCTTGCAGTATGTAAGTGACATGCATGTGCCATTTTATAAAGGGGTATAAATGAAAACTATTTTCATGGAACAGGATTACATGAATAAGGACATGTACATTCTTTGGAAGCAGTCATTCAACTTACTCAAGTGTGTGTGAACATGCACGCTAACATTTTTCATATTTTATTGATAGCATGATACATGTATTAATTTTGTCTAATGTATTATTTTTCACCATGGTCAGTAAAACATGCTTTTTACCTGTATTAATTATTTAACAAAACAATATTGGGACTTGAATCAGTGCAAGATGAAGCAAATTCATAATTTATGATTATTTTCAAATTATGGCATAAACAGCTGATAAAGGGAACATGGAAGGTTTGTTTGTGTGTAATGTCTGTCTGTGAATGTTTTAGGTGCATGTTTTGTGATACTGAAATATATAACATCGATTTTTTTAGGTTCATGGTGATACAGGAAAACTTCAAGGTTCCTGCAAATGGTGTTGAAAACTATTGGCCAGTAAACACAAATTAAACCCATTTAATTACATCTTGAATCTTCACCAGTAGAAAAAAGATGGCAGTACTTTTAATGCGTAAGTAGAATTGTTTTGAAAAGCTTCTTTTTTTGTTTTGGGTGGAATGAATGATTAAACAAATACATAAGAGTTGAAATCTCTTTAATACAGGGTGTTTCAACGAACATGTCCTGACTTTGCATGTTTAGTGCTTCTTTTACTACTTCACTCATGATTTTATGAGTCTGTCAAAAAAGGAAAGATCAGTGTTTTGTAACGATTTATCTGAAAATAAACATTACTGTAACAATGTATTTTTTATAGTTTTTTGAAAGAAACACTGCATTTACATGAAGTGTTTTATTCCAAAGATTTTTTAAAATCTCATGATCATGCAGGAAGTATGATTATATTCCTAATCTCGTTCTTTACACCCAAAATGTTTGACATCTTTTTTTATGTATCATACCCTGTACAAAATGTTCCACCTGGAGAAAAAGGTGTAATCAAGACAGAATTCTGGGTAAAATTCCAGGCGTAAAACTTACTATAACTATTAAAGCAATATAAGCGGAAACCAAGCGTTAACCAAGCAGAGACTAGCTGAAAATTTGTGGCAAAAATGTAAATTAGCTCCGCCTGGAAATTGACATTCTGCCTGCATGGAAATTGAAATTCCACCTAGAATTGAAATAACAGGATCCCTTCCGAATATAGATTCCGTCTCAACTGTCCAAAGTATTTCTTTTTATAATTTCCAGCTATTTTCCCCCTGAACTAAATTCAGCCTAGAATTTGATGACTGGAATCTGTTAAATTTAGGCGGAATCTCTGAGACGGAATATCAGAAGGTTCAGTATCCCCCTGTATTACGCCTGGAATTTGTGCATTCCAAGTGGAATATCCTTGGTGTCCAGTCAAATTCTGGGCGGAATCCACCTCAATTGTTTGTACAGGACTAAATCATGATCACTAAAATGTTTACTAATTTCACATCAGTCAGTCATAAAATTTGAGCGCCAACGTGACTCTGAATTACCTTACTACCTGCCAAGAAGCTAGAAAGCTAAAAATACATGCCGGTTTTTTTTAGTAAAGGTTGTTGAGAATCATAATTTATTCATTTTGTTTTCCAGAATTTTTCCTTGGTCTGTTCGGACTTATTACCCACAGATTTTATTAGTCCAAATGAAAATGTATTAGTCTGATGAGACTAACCGACTAACATTAGTGTCAAAAACCCTGACATTAGAAAATCTCAGGCATATGTCTAGTCAGACCATGCTTACACTGTAAAAAAACATGATGCTGGAAAGTTGAATTGAAAATTTAAGTCTCCTTTATCAGTCTCTACCAAAAACTTTTAACTAAATCAGTAGAATTAATATATAATTCATGGTCTTTCCCAAGTGTTTAGACTTTATATTTTGCAATAATTACTTAAGTGTTCATTATTAATATCCCTTATCTTAATTCCTGAAACTGACAAATCACAGTAGCCTAGACATTAGTTGTTGCCGGTACTCGCATTATAATCAATAGGTCCCTGTTCAATTCTTGTCCTAGCACCTTGTCAATCCAAGATGTTTGAAATAGGTAATGAGATTGTTCGATCACTAAGCCGTGACTATAGAAGTGAAAGATGCATGTCTTTCAAATGAAATTTTAAAAATCAAGGTATCATTTCAGGATACGCACAATAAAAAAAACCCCGTACAGTGTTAAGCTACTAGTATACACTGTAGTGAAACCAAATATTGAAATTTTATGCTATATAGTGTCAGGTTTTTGTTTTTTTTCAACCACAAGTTAAATCCCCTCAAATCATGAGAATTTAACCCAATGAAAATGACCAATTTACCATTAATTGAGAAACTTACATGTATTTGAAAGCTTCCTGAAATGCCAGTAGTGTAGATTCAAGTTTGTTCAATTCATGGCCCCCAGGGGTAGGGTAGGGCAACAGAAGAATATCAAAGTTTACATGGAATGACAGAACCATGATTTAAATAATAGTCATATTTATTATACATGTATATCCATGTCCTTACCAAATTTCTGTTGCAGTTTTCTCAGCAACAACTCATTGCAGGTGCTTGATATATTAGCACACTCTTTGTTTAGGCATGCTAAGTTTAGGAATTATTTTTGTAGGAATCCGATGTGAACTTCCTGTTTATCCCTCCAATTCTGTCCATACTATATTTCCATCACAGTTTTCTCAACAACTATTCAAGGATGATGCTTGAAAGTTTAGCACACCTTTAAATTGTTTAGGCATGCCATATGGTGGGATTCATTTTTGTATGAATTTGATGTCAACTTCCTGTTTATCCCTGTGCTTGTCCGTACCAAATTCAAATCAGTGCGGGAATTATAATTACTAGTGAGCATTGGCTCACAGACTTCTTGTTTTCTATTTGATAGGAATGTCTTTTAATTTAATTAGATAAAATCCTTATTTAGTTCTTCACAAATATTCTGAGAATGTTCTTTTTTTATAAGATGTGTAACCATTACTGTTTCTTGAGTCAAGATTTTTTTATTTATTTTACTGATATTTATTTCTACTAGAAGCAGCTACTAAGGAAGATTAAATGAAGGAAGATCAGGAAATGGAGAAAAAGCTGAAGAACAAGGAGGACAAGATGAAGAAAGAACAAGGTTATTACATATGTATCTCACAGTATTTTTACAAAGCCCTTCCAAATCCTGATTTATATAGTTTTTTTGTAAAACTTAAGAATGAATTCTTAATATATAGTTCTTGACCCTTAAATATAAATAAAGAAGGTAACATTTTTTACAGGGCACAGTGACTTGCAGTGTGTGTACATGTAACATTATTACAACAACTATATCATGGGTCCATAATTTTGAGTAAGTCATTCATCAAGTACTTTATATGTACTGGAAACCATTTCTGAGGGGGATAAAGTGATGGAAGATAATGAGCCGGAGGGTGGAATGGAAGAGAAAGGGAAAGAGATAAAGAAAAAGGCAGAATGAAAAAGGACTAGGTAATTATTATCACAGTACCCCCCCCCCCCCTTCCCAATCAATGTATTTCTTCAAGTCAACAAAATTACCGGGTACTTATCTTATTCCTTCATAAATATTTTTAGAAAAAAATTAAAACATCAACTTTGACTGGATGTAGTGACTTGCATGTGTGTAATTAGCTATAGTCAATACAATGACCTGGTCAGCAAAAACAATCTATCATTAAGTCGAATGCGGACTGATGTTTTTAATACTAATTGTTAGGCCATTATTTACACATTGAATTGTCTGTTTACACATTGAATTGTCTACAGACTTTTCCGTTTTCCAGATCATGACAAGGAGCACACAGCGAATGTGACTGATCGGCAGAGGATGTTTACTCCTATATTGCACCTGATCCCACCTCTGATGTTTTTATAGGTCCGTGTTTGCTCTGCTCCTGATTTGTATTTTTTCTATGGACTCTTGAGCTTGATTACTGTTCATTATCTCCATAATTACATGATTGTATGATTAAGCGGTATTTGAGTACTCTTTACTGGAACCCAGGAACATCTTTATTTTTTTTTTTACTTTGTGTCATCTAGTTTAAGATGATGAGATTGGACTGTATGTAGGTAATTCATCATGAAAAATGTTACATGTTACATGACTATGCCTTGACTTTACCTTAGGCTGAAAATGTCGATCAAGACACATTTCTAGTCTTCTTGGCAGGTACTTGTAAATCTGTTCAGTTAAGTTTTTTTTTTCTTTTGTGTGAATTAAGCTGCACACTTGGAAACTTGTTAGTTGATGCCTCTTATAGGGGAAACATGTTATTTCTTGACAAGGCTTTAATAGCAGCAAGATATATAAGTGAATTTAAGGTCATGGAAATATTTTAGGTAATGATGAAAGTATGTATTCCACATTCTAGTACCAAAACATTTCTGTCAAAGTCAAACAAGTACTTGAAAATGAATAAGGTACTAACCACTCTTTCCTCAGATAAATCACTAAAAAAGTTCAGTATGCCCAGATTTTTCATGAATCTGGTAAAATATGAAAATTGACAAACTGAATTTTTGTCAGTTTAGTTGTTTATTGAATTGGATTTTTTTTTTTACAGAACTTGCAATAGAAGAAAAAGTTTAGGGAAATTAAGAGGAAGAAATTGAAGATGAAAAGAAGAGCTCTGGGAGGAAAAAAGTGAGCATAGTGCAGTTATTTCTATGATTTTACATTTTAGTGATGGATTATCAGATGCAGTCTGAATTATAAACCTTATCTACTGATAAAGAAGATGGGTGAACAAGGCAAGTAAATGCCCATTGTGTGACAAAAAAGATTTAAAGAGTTAAATCTTAATCATGTCAAAATTTTCTTTGATATTTCATTTAACATTAATGTATACTTTATGTAAAATCTTTGCAGTTTGCTACAATCTTATAAAGATTAATACTATTGATCTATGAAATAGCAGATACACACCAAAAGAGGGCAAAAATGATCATTTTTTCCTCCTATATCATACTTTTTGAATATGAGTATAGGTCTTCACTCCATATTTTGGTAAGATTATACTCGAAGCATATTTAAAACTTTTCCTATTTCGGTTGACAAAAACATGGTGAAATGACCTACTCTTCTAAGAAAAAATGCACTTTTATGTCACAACAACATTCATATCTTTCAGAGAAATATTTGAAATCCATTTAGTCAAGAGTCACATTTTTAAATGTGATTTACATATGTAAATGTCCATTTTTGTCATGAGCTACATGTATGTAGTGTAGTGGTTAGCATGTTAGTCTCTAAGAAAAAAAATGAGGATTTAATTTCATTGCTTGGGTTTGAACCCCAACAATACCACTTTTTTTAATCATAGAATGATTTTTGCTTAAAGAATTTTCCACAGAAAAGTTTTGTTTGTAGTATAATGTTATACCTTTCAAAAAGAAGAACTTTACTCTCAATACTAAATTCAGTATTTGAATATGACTTTTATACATTTGAAGCTATAGGCCTTTTGCATGCCTTGTTCACCCATCTCCTTATGCACATTATGAAACATATAAAATTAATTACATATTACTGTTACTTGGTAGACTTTTAGTGTAATTAAAATTAGGTCTTTCATTTTACTCCATTTATTAATATATGTTACTAATGAGAGACAGATAAATATACAGGAAAAGCTAAATGAATCTAATATTCTTATAAGTGACTTGCTTGGATGCATGTTTTTATTTTGAAAAATCCTTATTTGTCTAGATGCATGTGTTCTGTGAGTACTTATATAGTCCTAACTGTAAAGATTCCAACCTTTTGATATGTAAATTATAGAAGAAGATGAGATTAAAGTTTGGCTCTTTAAACTGGAAAGCTTGAAAGGAAATTAATGGCAAGGGCAAAAGAAAAGGATAAGGCCATTCCAAGTTTTTTCTATGTTTAGCGTCTGCGTGTGCCTTGGTTTTTGACACCCCATATCAGAAAAAACATACAGAACTAGTGCTAATTGTAATGGTAACCATTACAGATGTTCCCCAAACGGCTCCCCAATCCCTTATGATGCCCCATTCCCTTCAAGCTTCATTGAATTAGACAATACTTTTGTAATATAGATGGACACTTTATTTTTAAGGGTATTTTATTGGAAAACTACTCCGATATAGCCATATGGGTATTAGCCAATCAAATTTCAGCACATGTGCTTGCATGTGCTTTCTACATTTAACACATAAATTTTCTTATAGTGTCTCACAATATATACATTTGTGTTAAATATCAAAGATTTTCATTGTAAAATAAAAGAGATATATCCATTTAAATATTAGCCAATCAGAATTCAGCACACGCACAGGCATGACGTTGCATTCAATTTTGAAAGTATCGTACTGTAGGAGCCAATGTGCCTGTCTATATTATAAATTTCATCCTCTTTAGTTGAAAACCAAGGGAGTTATAGTCATTTAAAGTGTCAGCCAATCGGATTGCAGCACATCTGCATGCACGTGTTTTCAAGCAATATCCTATATAATATGTTGTAGAACCTTATAATATATACTTACATGTATATTTTAAATTTCAATGTGTTTTCTCAAAAAAACAAGGAAGTTATTGAGATTTTTGTATCAGCCAATCAGAGTGAAGTGCATGCACGTGGGTTAATGCTAATTTGACCAAGTCATTTGTCTAGACTACTAATGTAATTTTATATTCTGAGTTTCAAAGCAATTCATCAAGAAATATAAAAGTTATGGCTATATTAAGTATATCAGCCATTTCACTCATCGCACGCGCGCGCACGTGCATACAAAATGACCTTTGTTCCGCACATCTACACAACATTCCTATTAACCCTAAAAAGGTTTCATCTCAATCGGATGAGTAGTTTCCGAGAACACTCGCGGACAATAAAGTACCAGAGAAGAAATTTCGAAAAAAGAAAGTAAAAACAATATGTTCCCAAACTTCGTTTGGGGAACATAATAAGGAGTCCTGAAATCAGTTATTCTGGTCAAAATCTTTGAATTCTGTCAATTTCTATAAATATTTGTCTACAAGATGTCATATTAGGAATATTTTAAGCATTTAATACCTCGGTTTTGCTGAAGAATAGATCTTTCTAAGAGAAAAATAGATTTATAAAATCAAATCTTTTGAATGACGTCATTTTTACGACTATAAAGTCTCTGTTTTATTTTTTTGGTTTGTGTGTTTTTTGTGAATAGGTAGGTAGGTTTTTGAAAGATGGGTGGATGCTAAACAGAGAAAAAACTTGGAATGGCCTAACCCAAAATTTCAGAAAGTGTATGTTAAGTTGTGAATATACTGTTATGGAACGCCGCGGCTGCCTTATGTGGAGAACATTCATTATATGCTGATACTTTAACATTGTATGCTGATACTTTAACATTATATGCTGATACTTCAACATTATATGCTGATACTTCAACATTATATGCTGATACTTTGACATTATATGCTGATACTTTAACATTATATGCTGATACTTCAACATTATATGCTGATACTTTGTCATTATATGATGATACTTCAACATTATATGATGATACTTTAACATTATATGATGATACTTCACTACATGGTGCTTTAAAAAATAAGTTAAACATCGGAATCATCATTCTTTGACAAGAGAAAAAATCCCCAAAAAATCGTTTTCAATTGCATAGTTTTAGTATATATACATGTACATGTATTGGTGTATATATATGTACATGTATTGGCATATTGATGGGACGAAAGGGGGAAGGGGGAATGTGTAAGCAGTCTTGAATACACTGGCTTATTTGGAAAGGGTAGAGAGTAAATATATAATATTAAGAGTGAACTAAACAAAGATAGCTTTGCAAAAAGGGCGTGTACTGCGCAAAATTTTTAAGATATTTTGGAAGTTTAGGAACTCTTCATGGTTATAAAACTTGGTTGTTTTTTTTAATCAATGATGGTACAGGACATCAAAGCAGAATAATACAATTTATGGGACACACATTTGATTCGTTTTTTTGGGGGGGGGGTTCAATTTTTTTTCCGAGTCAGATTATTTATTTTCATGTCACTAGATTATTCATTTTCTAGATGACCAGGTACAGATTATTTATTTTCACACAAACTGAACAAAAAAGTCTATCCTAACTCAAAAATACTATTTCTTTGGGGAGAGGGGTGTGGCTACCACTACGCCGAAGTCTTCCCAGTGAAGGACATACTGATTTATTTTCAGCATTTTCAAGGACAGATTATTAATTTCCATAATATGATAGCCCCCCTCCCCACCCATCCCCCCCACACCCACATTACATGGTCGTTCCGGCCTCAGAACCACGCTTCAGCACTTAAGTTCTTGATAGCTCTGCGCTTTAAACCGCTTTTATATGTAATTTTTAAATCGGTAGGAAGGGGGTTGTTGTTTAGAGATTTCATTGTTATGACAACTACATAGTAATTTCGGCTACTAATGACTCAAAATCTTTTCCAGAATCTAGCTGCCATTGCCTTTTTAACTGGACTATTTAAGCTGATCTATACATCCGATGCCATGCATGCGATCATTCTGGAAAACTGTAAAATCACCGAGACTTAGCTTATGAAGTTAGTTAGAACTTTGTGAATATTTACGTAATTGTAATCTTGCCAACCCCACCCCCACCCCCTCCCCAAATTTTTTTTAAAAAATTATATATAAACTCAAAAAAAAATTTAAACATCCAAACAACTAATATATTTCACTAGAAATTCTTAAATTTCAATTAAATTATACCTCATGAAGTATAAATTCATCTAAGAAATCATATCAAAATACATATATTTACTTGTATTTATTAATTCATTTTTTGCAATAATGCGTATAATCATGTAACTTGTACAACCAGTAAACACATTCCAGAGGCGTATACAGGATTTCCAGATTGGGGGTGGGTGATATTAATGACAACATAAACTCAAAATACTTGTAGTAAAAATGAGTATATAAGAGCAAAGGTTTTCTCAAGATTTAGGTTTTCTCTATTGAATATCAAAAACATAAAATTTTCTAATTTGTTCCTTTCTTTCATCCTCTTACTTTTTTCTTCATTTTTCTTATTTGGGGGGGGGGGGGGGGGGGCTCTTTCACCTTTCACACATATATCTGCCACTGTCCTTTAGACTGCTTAAAATTACCAACTTTTTTAAATAGACAAACTTTATACTTTTATTCATAACATGTAGGTTCAAGGATCTGCTAAACTTTTATCAAAAGAATTAATGCATTACACATACATGTATTTTAAGATATAACGTTAGTTTTCCGTAAAATGATGAATGTGAACAACGATCGAAATGTCTATATCCACTGGAACCTTAAAGTCTGGCCAAAGAGACCTGTTTAGCTGAGGAAAGGCGTGGATACGTCGAACAACCTGCAATATTCCATCCGATTTGGTAATCTACGATCGTATTCTCGTACGTTCTGTTGCATGCGTTTTGGACGATTATGGTATCATGATCCCGATATTTAACCTATTTTTAAAGCACCATATAGTGAAGTATCATCATATAATGTTAAAGTATCATCATATAATGTTAAAGTATCAGCATATAATGTTGAAGTATCAGCATATAATGACAAAGTATCATCATATAATGTCAAAGTATCAGCATATAATGTTAAAGTATCAGCATATAATGTTGAAGTATCAGCATGTAATGTCAAAGTATCAGCATATAATGACAAAGTATCAGCATATAATGACAAAGTATCAGCATATAATGTCAAAGTATCAGCATATAATGTCAAAGTATCAGCATATAATGTTAAAGTATCAGCATATAATGTTGAAGTATCAGCATATAATGTTGAAGTATCAGCATATAATGACAAAGTATCAGCATATAATGACAAAGTATCAGCATATAATGTTAAAGTATCAGCATATAATGTCAAAGTATCAGCATATAATGTTTAAGTATCAGCATATAATGTTAAAGTATCAGCATATAATGTTAAAGTATCAGCATATAATGTTGAAGTATCAGCATATAATGAATGTTCTCCACATAAGGCAGCCGCGGCGTTCCATATACTGTAAACATATTACTTTTCACTGTGTATTCTTTTTAGCACCTTTGGCGGAAAGCAATGTCTGCTAATTCAAGTACAACGCTAAATGTCATGCACAAATACACATAAACATTAACAAATGCGCTAAATCAAATCCCCGCTAACTTGCTCAGTAATCAACTTCTGCCAAATATCGTACACGCTAAATATTATACATTTACAGTAATTCAAATTCAACAGGCTAACAAGTTCTAAAGGATATAATCATTTAATACAAATCAAATACACAAAATGTTAACTAGCTATTTTAGGAATTTTAAATTTATTCTTGTCCTTTTGCTTTTAAAGAAGTGTTGTTGTGTCTTAATTAAGATTGGAAACTTGATCATTGATATATTTTATTTCATTTTAATGTAAAAGCCTTAATGGTTTTATTATATATGTATTTCAGTTCCATTTGTTAAGAATGTGTGGACAAAAGAAAAATAGCCATAGCAGAGTGCCAATGTGGAGTGGAATAAGTCAGTATGACTTGATCGTGGTCAATTGAAGTGTTTAAATGCCCCTCCAGAAAGCAGAACAATCTTTGAATTTGCAAGAAAGAGTATAAAATTTGCTGTTAAAATATCATAACAGTTAGACAAAGATTAAATAACAAGTACACGTTCATCTAAAGAATTCTTTTGTCTCAATAGTGATTCATGTGTAAGTACATGTAACAAGTGCTATAATGACCTGATATACATGTAAGTGTGTTTTAGGAGCATGTTGACTCTATTGTAAATGTATTGACTCATTATATGACCTCATTTATATATATATCATTATATGAATGGTAGTGTAGTAAGTCGACATGTGTGTTAGCTGTGTAGGTTATGATGTGTGGTAATTTTGTGTACGTATGTAGTATGGTGACTTGTGTTGGGAATATATAATTTTATGTGTTACTGGTATAGCTCATCGTGTGATTTAAAATGGTTATTTGTAATGTATATATCACTAGTGTGTGACTCGACATGTGTGTTAGTAGTGTAGTGACTCGACGTGTGTTAATAGTGTTGCTTATTATGTGTGGTAATTTTGTTATTTGTTATGTAAGTTGTACATGTAGTATGGTGACTCGTGTGTTGGAAATGTATAATTTTATGTGTGTTACTAGCTCATCGTGTGTTTTAGTATTGCTATTTGTAGTGTATATATTAGTAGTGTAGTGACTCGACATGTGTGTTAGTAGTGTAGTGACTCGACATGTGTGTTAGTAGTGTAGTGACTTAACATGTGTGTTAGTACCGTAGCTTATTATGTGTGGTCATTTTGTTATTTGTTATGTGTGTTGTACATGTAGTATGGTGACTTATGTGTTTGAAATGTATAATTATATATACCCTCGCTCCGAAGGAGAGGGGGGGTATACTGTTTTATCCTTTTGTGTCTAGCTGTGTGTGTGTCTGTCTGTCTGTCCATAACAAATTTTAGGTCACATTTTTCTCAGCAACTACTCATTGCAGATGCTTGAAATTTTAGCACACTCTTTGTTTAGGCTTGCCATATGGTGGGATTCATTTTTATACAAATCTGATGTCAACTTCCTGTTTATCCATGTGTCTCTCCGTACCAGACATAACAAATTTTCGTCTCAGTTTTCTCAGCAACTACTTATTGCTTGAAATTTTAGCACACTCTTTGCTGAGGCATGCCATATGGTGCGATTCATTTTTGTGTGAATTTGATGCCAATTAACTTCCTCTTTATCTGTGCGTCTGTCTGTATCATACATAACAAATTTTCATTGCAGTTTTTTCAGTAGTTACATATAGGCATAGCAGATGCTTGAAATTTTAGCACATTCTTTGTTTTGGCATGCCATATTTTGAGATTCATTTTTGTACAAGTCTGATGTCAACTTCCTATTTATCTGTGTGTCTGTCTATACCATACATAACAAATTTTTGTTGCAGTTTTCTCATCAACTACTTATTGCAGATGCATGAAAGTTTACACACTTTTTGTTTAGGCATGCCATATGATGGGATTCATTTCTGAATTTGATGTCAACTTCCTGTTTATCTGTGCATCTGTCTGTATAATATGGAACAAATTTTTGTCAAAGTTTTCTAAGCAACAACTCATTGCAGATGCTTGAAATTTTAGCACACTCTTGTTGAGGCATGCCATATGGTGGGATTTATTTTTGTATGAATCTGATGTCAACTTCCTGTTTATCCGTGCGTCTGTCCTTAGCTGAACTTGTGTATATTCACATGATAATGTATATTCACATCACGGTGGGGGGATTACCAATGAGCATTGGCTCACAGAACTTGTTTTATACGTGTTACTGGTATAGCTCATCATGTGAGTTAATGTTGTTATTTGTAATGTATATATCAGTAGTGTAGTGACTCGACATGTGTGTAAGTAGTGTAGTGACTCGACATGTGTGTAAGTAGTGTAGTGACTCGACATGTGTGTTAGTATTGTTAAGCTTATGATGTGTGATAATTTTGTTATTTGTTATGTGTGTTGTACATGTAGTATTGTGAATCATTATGTGTTGGGAATATGTAATTTTATGTGTGTTATTGGTAAAGCTCCTCATGTGTTTTTATATTGTTATTTGTAATATACAGTGAAACTTGTCTTATCCGGATGTTGTGTACTCCAAAATCTTGACTAGTACAGTGTTAACTTTAAGTCACCTGCAGTAGCTTCAATTGTATTAAATGTTGTCTAATCCAGAATGTGGTCTAATCCAGCCAATTTCTTTGGAACCAGTGGTGTTCGGATTAGAAAAGGTTTTACTGTATACATTAGTAGTGTAGAAACTCTACATGTGTGTTAGTAGTGTATTGACTCACTTTGTGTGTTAGTAGTGTAGTGACTCGACATGTGTGTTAGTAGTGTAGTGACTCGACATGTGTGTAGCTTATGATGTGTGGTAATTTTGTTATTTGTTATGTGTGTTGCACATATACATGTAGATAATATGGTGACTCATGTGTCAGGAATGTATAATTTTAAGTGTGTTACTTTTATAAATCATCGTGTGATTTAAAATTGTTATTTGTAATGTATATATCACTAGTGTAGTGACTTGACGTGTGTTAGTAGTGTAGTGACTCGACATGTGTGTTAGAAGTGTAGTGACTTAACATGTGTGTTAGTACTGTAGCTTATGATGTGTGGTAATTTTGTTATTTGTTATGTGTGTTGTACATATGGTATGGTGACTCATGTGTCGGGAATGTATAATTTTAAGTGTGTTACTTTTATAACTCATCGTGTGATTTAAAATTGTTATTTGTAATGTATATATCAGTAGTGTAGTGACTCGACATGTGTGTTCGTAGTGTAGTGACTCGACATGTGTGTTAGTAGTGTAGTTACTTGACATGTGTGTTAGAAGTGTAGTGACTTGACATGTGTGTTAGTAGTGTAGTGACTTAACATGTGTGTTAGTAGTGTAGCTTATTATGTGTGGTAATTTTGTTGTTTGTTTTGTGTGTTGTACATATATTATGGTGACTCATGTGTCAGGAACGTATAATTTTAAGTGTGTTACTGGTATAGCTCATTGTGTGTTTAAATATTATTTGTTATATGTAATACATATATTTGTATTGTTATTTTGGTATGTGTGTTGTACATGTAGCATGGGACTCATTTTGTGTTGGGAATGTAGAATTTTACCTGCGGTAGTGTAGCTCATTTTTGTGTACTAATGTTATTTTTTATGTGTAATAGTCATGTAGTGACTCAATATGTGTGTAAGTAGTGTAGCTCATTATGTGTTTTCATGTTGAGTAAGTTTAATTTAAAAGAGTGTTGACTTATTGTGTAAGTTAGAGTAGCCTCTTGCTATACGTAAGCATAATATAAAAAGACACTTTTTTTATGATGTGTATATAATTATTAAAACAATGCTAAATATAATATTATATCAACCTCCATTGATAAACTTATGTTTGAATTTCTAATGTAATGTAAGCTGCATGAATAGATCATATTTTGACTGAATTTTGAATGAGCATAATTTGTGATTTTAATTTTTGAAATAAACAGAAATTTAATTTTCCTTGTATATGTTTATTTTTTCATTAGATTGCAGAATAAAACTAACTTTTGCAGTATTAAATATCTAGAAATGATTTTATGACCAGAATGGTGGATACTTATTTTACAGTTAAAGTATATCATTGAGGGAGTTAGCAAGATTCCAGTTGTTTTTGTTTTGAACATTTTTTATTGACAATATGTCAAAGGGATTGGACACAAGTTCCAAAAACTTAGATAGTCCTCTCCCATACATAAAATCTGAATAGCCATACAACATTTACAAAGTTTTACAATAATATATATATGTACATAGAAGAACAAAAACAATTGTTTTGTGAATAATGAAATAATATCAATTAATAGTCCTGGTCGAGAGGAACTAAAATCTTGCTAACTCCCGCAATGATATACTTTTAACTGTTTTATTATACTGATACAAACGTAAAATTTAGAGGATTCAGGTAGTATGATTTTATAGCAGGGATTAGCTCACTTACTTGCTAACACATGGGGATTAGTCCATTCACATATCATACCAAAGTAAAAGTAAAATCTAGAGGATTACAGATAACCGGGAATTAGCTTTTGATGCAGGGATTAGCTCACTTGACTAACGCACGGGGATTAGTCCATTCATAAAGATTTCTAGGGAATTAGTCACGTCTAACGATCTAATGTTATATAGAGAAAAAATCAGTAGAGGTATGATAAAAGTATATAACGTGTAATCCTGCTTGGGAGAAGGGGTTCTGGGAAGATCAAATTGGTTAAGAATTATAGACCAATGCAAACTGATGTACAGTGTATATAAAAGCAGATAAATGTTTGTCGGTCGCATGCTGTAAATTTTAAATGATAAATGCTTGACTTCAACTGTAGGAAATTCTCGAATGGAACGTTAAACAACATACAATCAATCAATCAACTGTAGGAAATATCCCTACTAAAATATCATGGTATAGTTAGATCAAAATAACGATGGCGGTTTTATAATGCACATTATTGTGAAATTATCTAAAAGACCTCTTAAAAGAAACGGGGCGTACAAGGCGGGGACAATCCCCCGCTCTGAGATAATATTTTTCTCAATCTTTAAAGTTCACGGAAAAGATTTGATACATTTATTTTATTAAATGGTACTGGTTGATGATTTGTTTGTAAAGTTGTCAGTAAAGCATATTTAGTGGGAAATTGGTTTTTTGGAGCCACACAAAATGATTTTTGAATATGAATGGGACAAGTTTCCTTTCTACATTAACTTTTACGTTCTAGCCTTGATATTAAACCGGGAAATACTATGATCTTGAGCATACAGTATCGAAGGGGTACAGGGATGCCCCCTAGTGTTTTTTTATTCTCCCGAGAAAATAACTGTTGTTAATGTACATAGGAAATTTTAATATAAGGCCTGTTGTTATTTTTTCTTCCTTTTTGCTGGTTAAAAATCGATTTTTTACGGGGGTGGGGCGCTTCAAAACAGTTTGACAAACAAGAAAAAAAACCTTAACCTATTGACTAAACTAGAAAATCTTATTTGGGTTGTTAGGTGGTTG